TATTTGTATATGAGTACTAGTGGTACTCCTACTCTTTCTAGTATATATATATATATATATATATATATATATATATATATATACGCACACACAGCTATCCTTGTAATAGCTGCCATCCTTTAGACTTGGTTTATATAAAATTGGTGAACTTTGTTTCACAAGTGTGGTTGTCAATTATAATTACGTTTGAGTTTTGGGTTTTGATATTGAAATGATTGAATTCTTGTTTATGTCAGTTGGCATGTGTTTGTCTTGCATCATATGTAACCTTTACGTGCTTCGAAGTTCATTATTTTCTATTTTTACAAATGCAGGAATTAAAGAGTCTGATACTGGTTTAGCTGCTCCAAGTCAATGGGATCTTGTTTCTGACAAGCAAATGATGCAAGAGGAACAACCTCTCCAGGTTTTTCTTGCAGAAATTGATCATGTCATATTTTTACATTTCGTTCAATCTAATTGGGAAGTGAACAGAGCCAACCAGGTGGATGGTCTGTTTAAGTTTCTTTGTTGTTATCAATTGCTTAAAAGGAATTCAATTCTGGTCATGTAGGTCGCAAGATGCACAAAAATTATTAACCAGAACTCTGAGGATGCCAAGTATATTATAAATGTAAAGCAAATTGCCAAGGTATCATTTCTCAGCATGAGTATTTCTATTATGCTTAAATATGGACAAAATAGATTTACATTCTGTGGATTGTGGCTCTAACATTGTTGGTGAATGCAGTTTGTTGTTGGATTAGGTGACAAGGTTTCTCCCACAGACATTGAAGAAGGCATGCGCGTAGGGTAGGAATTTATTTTGAGCCATTTTTCTTTTGATATTGAGATTCTGTTTGCTGAATCTAATAATGTTACAAGATGCTCATTAAGTACAAATTTAGGAAACAAGTTCTCTCCATGAAAAGATAGAAGTTCATAAACTTCCATTCTCTTTGGTTTTTTTTCCCTTGTGTTTGTGTGCGCGCGCGTGCGTGTGTGTGCATGCGTTGGTGTGTGGGTGCGTCTGTGTGTCCATGTGTTTCCTATATTTTGGGAATTGATGCTGTTCCTGTTTTTGGGCTCAGTACATTCCTATTTGGAGTGGGCATATTAAGCCATGTTGCATAGACACCAACAATCGTGTCGGTGTCTTTCTGTACCAGGAGTGTCTAGTACTTCATCTAAAACAGCCAATATGGCAAGCCAATATTTTGTGTTTGTTCACACCAACTCGCTGTTTCCACAGCGCTTACAGGCACTGCATGACTGCCTTTGGAATGAAACCAGGAATGTGATGGTAACTCGCACCGCATAACTGCTATTGTGAATAAAACCAGGAATCGAACCTCAAGGGGCTAGCTTTATGTTTTTAGTTAAGAGTAATGATCCTATGAGACCCGTCCACACCCATGTGTGTAGGATCCCAAAGGATCACTATTAAATTTGGCACAGATCTCTAGAAAAATTATCACATGGGTGTAAGATTTGACTTTTCTAGAGATCTGTGCCAAATTTAATGGTGATCCTTTGGGGTCCTATACACATGGGTGTGGGAGGGTCTCATAGGATCATTACTCTTTAGTTAAATAACCACTTTTATAGAATGTAACTATCTCCATTCCTGAATCACACGAGAGATTTTCGCATGGGGTAGAACTAGTCTTCGCAAAATCGAACCGGAACAGTTAATCAGACATGGGCCCAGAAGCGGTTTAACTGGCTTAACCGGTAAACCGGCCGATTCAACTGTTCTAACCGGGCAAGTCCCAGGCGGTCAAAAAAGTGTTGAAAAAATAATAAAAGATACAAAAAAAAAAAATCTACTAAAATGTGAAAAGCATATAAAGAATGATTAAAATAAATTACATTTAAAAGAAGTTGAAAATTAATAAAAAAAACAATTAACGAATCAATTTTTTAATTAAAGTGAGTATTAATGACCAAAACAATTTTTAATCTTTACCATAATGAAAAGAATATTAAAAAATGCATTATAAACCAAATTCCTTATTTTTGGGAATTTATGTACTTTTTTTTTTTTTAAATACCGGTCGATCACCAAAGCTGCCCAAAACCGTAACCGGCCAGTGGCTGGTTTCGATCTAACCGGGCGGTTAGCGGTTAGATCGCCTGGGTTTTCCAGCAGTGGGTAGAACTCTCCACTCTTTTTCAACTCATCATAGCTTCCAACCCTAGCCCTGATTGTTAATTTTAATATAAGAAAATATTAAAAAAGGCCTTACACAGGATGTCAACGTCCACTCTCCCTTGTGGACCTTGGGACTTCTATTGAAAAAATAGGATGACACTTTTATATAAGTGTCTTATATTTACTGAAGAACAGTAAAATTGCCCAACACATACCGTCAATATAGTGGGCCCATTTCTATTGGTGAATAGTTGGTACTAACTTGATTAGGAGTCCCTAGGCTTCTCATTGATCCTTCAACACTGGTCCCCCTACAAAACACTACTCACCTCCTTCAACCTCCTAATACGAAGCCCTCCAAGCTCTTTGGTGGTTACTCTTTCCAAATGGATGAGTGTCCAGTCCATTGCATGCAACTCCAAAGGAAATTTCTCTAGGACTCTTTTTTTTCCGACGTTCATTTGTACTTACCTAGACCTGTTAGTGGAAGCTTGCTTATAATTAATTAGGTTCTTTTAAGTTCCTCTATACTAGGACCTGTTACAAACAATAGGATCTGAGCATTCTATGCTTGGGAGATGCAAAGGTGGGAGTTTTTTGTTGCAAGTTTATGAGCTGCTCACAGGTGTCTTTCTCATGTTTGCTTTTGAATTGTGAGATTAATATCTTCAATGGTTTTCTGGTGGAGTTTTTTTGTTGTTGGAGATTTTTCCAATATTTTTATCAGGGGTAAATATTTCAAGTATGATCTCGCTGTCCTCTTGTATTAAATGTAGTTTGTTTTGTTGCCTGGCCCATCTTAGATTGTCAGTCATCAGTTCTATTCGCAGGTTGCTTGTAATGAATTTATTTGTAAATGTAATTGATACAAGGGGGATGTTCTTCCACTGGAATTTATTTATGCTAGAAATAAATAGGCGCTTACGAATTAGAAAAAAAGAGAATTTTGATGAATGATGAGTCTGGAGATTTTATACACATCCATGATATTCTTATTCTAATTTTTTCACTTTTTAGATAGTTTGCCACTGAAAAATGCAACCTTGCTACTGATTCTTGTCCTTTAAGTATCTATGAGATCTGCTCATGTCACTACTTCTATAATATCTTGGCTCTGGTTTACTGCAGTTTGATAACTATGGTCGCATGCTTGAATGTATCATATAAGAGTCTAAGAGAAGCTGATATCTTTGTAGTTATACTCTCTTTTCTTTAGAGAATTATCAGCAGTGAATGTGCTCAAATGAGTTACCCTTTTTTTTTTTTAGCGTAGTGTTACATTACTTGCTTTTGTTTTTTTAGCTGCTTTCTGTAAGATGATTGCTGGTAGAATCTTCTTAATAATTTAGGAAATGATGTTGGCTGAGCTGTCTGTGAAGAATATCTGTTTCTCTTACAGGGTTGATCGAAATAAGTATCAAATTCAGATTCCATTACCTCCAAAGATTGACCCAAGTGTTACAATGATGACAGTTGAAGAGAAACCTGACGTTACTTACAATGATGTTGGTGGTTGTAAGGAGCAGATTGAAAAGATGCGAGAGGTGAGTTTTGTATTGTAGTTCCATTTTTTATCATTTTGTGGTTTCTAGTATTGCAGAAAGATCACACTTCTCCAATATCTCTGTAAATGCAATATGTGACTGGATGCATGCTATGATCTATGTAATCTTATGCATGAATCTGGACATATGATATTGTTATGTTTAGCACTTCTTAAAATAATACTGTTATGGTTGGTGTTTTGACTGCTAATGTGTCCCACATTCATCATCTGGAATACAAATGTTGCAAGGTTAGAGTTTCTAGATCTTATTTGATGGGGCACTCTATACAGTTTTCTTATTGCACATTTGCACCTTGTTTTTCCAATTACCAACAGAATAAAATGAATTATATTATCTATGAAAGAATGAATTATTTAATGCACGTGCATACTCATGGGTGCTAGTCACTTTGAGCTTTTTTGGTGACAAGAGTTTTTATTTCAGGTATCAAGATTTTGTTTTTTATTTTTGGGGTTGGTTTTGTTTACCTTTTCAATTCCTTGTGGAGTATCATTTTGGCTCTCTGACATGTGATCCTAGCAGCTTTGGAACTTTCTTAGTGGAGCTTTTTGCAACCATTAGTGTGCTTATATTCAAAGTTTGATAACTTTTGTTCTCCATTATATAGTGGTTGGGATTTACATAATGACCAGTCATATTTATGATAAAAACTAATGTTTTGTAAAAGTATGACAATCTAAAATGTTGATTCCTTTTGTGTAAATGGAGTTCATTTTAATTCTTTTGTAAAAAATAAACAAGCAGTTGGAACTATAATATTCCATCCAAGAATTTTAGATATCATCGGGGAAGGAGATCAAAAACTAATTTTTTTGGTTGTAAGATGCAAAACTAGTTGAGGTGGGGGAGTTGATGATGGTAAAATGCGATTTACAGGAATTCCAATGCATTGTCTGAAGTTCCAGCCTTTTTTGTTTATATTTTGATGATTTTTACTTGTCATTCTCTCATCAGGTTGTCGAGTTGCCCATGCTTCACCCTGAGAAGTTTGTGAAGCTTGGCATTGATCCTCCAAAAGGGGTGCTTTGCTATGGCCCCCCAGGAACAGGAAAAACACTCTTGGCCAGAGCGGTAGCCAACAGAACTGATGCTTGCTTTATTCGTGTTATTGGAAGTGAGCTTGTTCAGAAATATGTGGGGGAGGGGGCGAGGATGGTTCGTGAACTATTCCAGGTTGTCCAGTTTGCATTTTCTCTTTTTCAAGAAAAATCTGCTGCATATATATTTGTATTTATCCATTTGCTTACCTAGTTTTTATCTAATTTTCTTCATAGATGGCTCGCTCAAAAAAGGCTTGCATTGTCTTCTTTGATGAAGTGGATGCAATAGGAGGGGCTCGATTTGATGATGGTGTTGGGGGGGATAATGAAGTTCAACGCACAATGCTTGAAATTGTAAATCAGCTTGATGGATTTGATGCTCGAGGAAATATCAAAGTTCTAATGGCAACTAATAGGTATGACAATTTGCTTTCCTTGTCCTCTGTAATATGATTTTCTTATCTTATCATACTGCACGCTTCCATGCATCCCCACAATTACGTTACTCCGCATAGATTACTGATTTTGTTTTGGCATCTAGATGCTTTACCAGAAAGGTGTGTTATGTGAGGATTAACAATCTTAACTTAAAATTTTAAATTCCTTATTCCTTCACCTGAAGCAATATGAAAAGTGAAAGTTTCTCTGAGGAAAACATATAAAACTTTGTAGAAAGACCAAAAATTGCTCTAATGGAACCTGACAAAAGAATACAGCAGAATACAAAAGGAGACCTCACATGTTGAAACAACAAAGATCGAGTTGGGAGGCAAGTCTTTTTTCATCCAGGTTACATATGTTGGGTGATGACATTGATCGCAGTGGATTGCATGGAATGGTGGTCCCTGATTCCTTTTACTAAGATAGGTTGTGCTTGGGGGATTGCCCTGTGGCTACTTTCTCTGTGATAAGTAGAGAATGTAACCACATGAATTTCAGCGAGAAGTAATGCAATTGTGAGGTGGTCAAGATACAGCATAGAGACTCACTGGGCCCATGGACACTCATCCTAAAGGAGCTCAATGGGATCAGGATGGTTGGTCTAATCCAATATTTGTACACTCTGGGCAATTAACCTTCGGAACCCTAATTTTGTTACTAGTGGTACAAGCTGCCTATTCGACCTATCATACTCAACCTTGACAACAGTTCCCTATTTTATCGTGGGTGCTGTCACTCTTCGCAATATAAGAGATGTAGGAAGAGAAGTATGAAAGCAGATTGTAGTTATGCTCGAATTTGAATATTTTAAAAGTGGGAGGGAAGTGATGGAAATAATGGGCTGCATCTTGGTAGAAATTCAAACATATTGAATGGTTCATCGAGGATATTTCAACGTTGTTTAATCATGTGGACTACATAAAAGATATCTTGAGAAACTTGAAGGCTGGTCTAACTACCAATTAAAGGGTTTGAAAATAATGGGTTCCATCTTAGAAGATAAATTGGTTTTTAGCTCAAAAGGTATGTCTACCAATTTTCTCACCTATGCACTTGGGCTTAACTATGATGCAAAATAAATATAGAATGCCCAAGCAACCTCATTGAGGAGGGGACATGATTGACTTTATTTGTTTATCATTATTATTTTTTTTTTTGGAGAGAATGCTTGCTTGTTAACAAGAAGGAATGAATGGTCTGATGAATGAGAAAATGGATAGTGCAAAACTAGAACTTCTTCCAGGAGCAAGTAGTTACAAACTTACAATAGATCTTCTCCAAAACCAAAAGGTGAGACTATATTATGGAATTTCATAGACTTGACAAAAAGAACATCTATGAACCAAGATTATTGGTTTATGATTATGATTGACAGGAAGCTACACACATGTCTTTCAGTCACTTTCTTTTTTAGTTTTTTTCAACGGTGGTCTGTGATAGCACTTGTCCTTTTTGCCAGGAAGGGGAACATGATCCTGTGACTCATACGAGTTGCGATCTTGGGGTTTTGAGAATGTGGAGGGCTCAATGTATCATGAAGTAGTAAAAGATCAAAGAAAATGAGGTTTATACCTTAGTTTTCCTTTTAATTGAGAAGTGAGTGATCCAATAAGGAACAAATATTGTACCCCTTGGTCGTTATCTTTAAAATTTTGGCTATGTATGTGACAAGCGGGACATGGTTCATGATGCTCGGCATTGGAAGGGAGATGATGGAGAGGATTTGAAGATGGACTTAATTGCTTAAATTATTAAAACTTGTGTAGGTAGAATGTAATTTTTTACTTCTAGTTCTTCTTAGGATAATCTTAAATAGGATTTGATTTATTGGAATTACACCAAATAAAAATATTGGTTTTTGAAGTTCTATGTTTACTTCTCAGATGTTACGTGATCTGTTGATTTATATTTATTATTCCATTACAGTTTTTTATTAGAATAGAAAAATACTTGATTAATAAGTTGGTACCACGAGATACAAATGCTCTCATTCTCGAAGGGATCCACAAAATGAATATATTTTCAATATGTTGAAATTAATCACTCCATTAAGATTTTGGTTGGTTTTGTTTGCAGGCCTGATACGTTGGACCCAGCACTATTACGTCCTGGTCGACTTGATCGTAAGGTTGAGTTTGGGTTGCCTGATTTGGAGAGCAGGACCCAAATCTTCAAAATCCACACAAGAACAATGAACTGTGAGAGGGATATCCGGTTTGAACTCCTTGCTCGCCTTTGTCCCAACTCCACCGGTAAGTAGATCTCACACCCACTTGATGTGCTTGTTTGATAACACTGCCAATTGATTTTATGGTGGTTCTAATGCACTTGTTCAGGATTATTGCAAATTTCCTTAAATAAACCTCCTGGTTTCTTTTTGTTTTGTTCTTTATTCTTATTAAGATGATACCTCCAATTAGAATCCCTTCTGTACATACATTGTTTTGAGATGTGAGTTCAAGGACTTAATTCTCGCAGGTGCATATTTTAATACTGAAATTGTTTGTAACTTTCTGTTTGTTTTGTTCTAATGGTCGAGATGAGTTTTTTCTTGGTAACTATATTTTCTTTAATAAAAAAAAGGGAATTTACATGTCTAATTTATTTTACACAAATGTGGCTCCAATTGATTAATACAAACAATCAAAACTGCGTAACTAGCAACAAGGGTTGGGTTACACCTTCCCTTGCACAAGTTATCAGCCACTTCATTGGCCTCTCTCCATGCATGATAAAAAACATCCTGATTATACTGACAATGTCAAAAATTTCCTCATATTCCCAAGTCTCCGAGGATATTCTGCATCTTTACTGGCTCATCTAATTACATTCTCCTAATCCCCCTGTTACAAATTGAAACCCAACCTGGTCATTTGGTACTCAACCCTGCTAATTGAATTCATGCTTCTATCTAGCTTGAATCACAGGAAAGTAATGGCCCTGAAAATGTGATTAGTGTTTCACCACCTTCATGATCTCAAACTTCTCCCTTGGCCCAGATTCCTGATTGATCTTCCGTCAAAATTTGAATTAATCCATATGTTTTTTTTGGGAGGGGGGGGGGGGGGTTGGGTGTCGGTCCAACTCACACTCCTTGACATTAGGTTTTGCAATATTTAGAACCACTGACTTGCCCATATAGAATAAACCAAAAATTATTTTCCCTCCCTTGCCAAATAAATGGTATTTGCCATTATCTTGCTATTTAACCATTCAATTTGATGTTCCTCTGATCTAAAGAGACTAGCATTCCTCTCTACTCATATGCACTATATAATACCTGTCAAGTCATTCGCCTATGATCCTAGGTTCGGGAGTTGGCAGTGTATGCCATTGCATAAATAAATATGCAATGTTTTCAGGTACAACTCACTGAATGTCAGAAAGTTTCAGAATACAGGACCATATCTTGAGTGCCACATTGCAATATAGAAAGAAATGCCTTATGATTCGGCTTTCAGGTTTGGACATACCACATCTGTTGATCACAGTAACCCTCCAGGTTTTGAGATGTCAGTTGTTAGTACTTTGTCAAGGGTTGGTAACCTCCTAAGCGTGGGGTGGTTATAGCCCAAGCTCTATGAGTAACGGATACTTGGCTGGAGTCCCATGTAAGCACCTTATATTCCAATTTGGCGCCTGGGATCCAAATCAATCAAGCTTGCCTCCCATGCCTGTAGAAGCAAAGACTGCAATGTGTTTAGCAGACCCATAAAGCTCTTGAACAACTTGTGCTATGGTGTTTCTTCTGGTTCAATAGCCAAGGCAAAAATAGATGGGTAGGCTGCAGTTATTGCCTCTTCAAGAAGCCTCTCTCTCCCAGAGTCCAAAGACCTCTTTGTCGCCAGTACCTGCCTGAAATCTTGTAATCCATGAATTTTCGAGAACAGGAAGCTGCTCCTTTGGTCCTTATACTACTCATCTCCCTTCCAAAATGACATTCTTCTGCAATTATTGTCGGACTGATTGAACTTCCACCACCACTTACCCATCAGAGCTTGATTAGTTTCTTTTGGCCTTATACCAGACCCCATTGTGTTACAGACCTGATTTCAATTAACCATGTGATGCTTCCTTTTTCCCAGGGCCCCACTCCACAGATACATTCTCATTAACTTATCTTAATGATTAACCAGTCAGTACGGAAATAAGGGCTAATTCTTTTGGCAAATTTGATAAGGTGGATTTGATCCATGTTATCCTCCCACCAAGTGATTAAAAAATTGTGCTTTCCATGAGTCTATATTCCTTTCAAATGTCTCAATGACCTTATTGGCTTCTTCATACTGATTTTGGAGGCTTACCTGAACAGTGGCAGTCCAAGGTGTATTGTCCTGGAATTTATCAACCCCAAATTGAATAATTTTAGCCAGGTTCCTCTGTTCTTCATCGTTCACCAATATGCCCAATAATTTGGTTTTCTAGTTGGCTTGATATATGTTAAGCTCTCAAAAGCTCCCCATTCAGTCTATTCATACGTCGTGACCTACGGCACTTCACAAATTTTCTGAATCAAATTTTCTGAATCTACATTCTGGCTGGTGAATTGAAAGAAAACAAACTTGAACGCAAAACTTTGGATTGAATTTCTTATTCTGTTAGCTAATTTGATTTGTATGAAGTTAAGTTTGCCTCCAATGTTTTAATCTTTTCCATTATTGTCAGGAGAGCCTTGATATTTTTATATACAGTTTTGGAACTTAATGAACTGACCAGTAATAAAAAAGAAAGGGAATCGAACAAAACTAATTCGGAGGGTTTATTCAGGAGCGGATATAAGGAGTGTATGCACTGAGGCAGGCATGTATGCCATAAGAGCTCGAAGGAAAACTGTGACTGAGAAAGACTTTCTCGATGCAGTCAACAAAGTAATTAAAGGCTACCAGAAGTTCAGTGCTACTCCCAAGTATATGGTTTACAATTAAGAGGAAGTCCACTTTCATTCAGGATGGAGAGAGATGAAAGAAGATAGCTTCTATTCGCTAAAAGGCCTGTTAACTCTTTTTCATCCTTGGTTATATCCATAATTAGGATCAAATTTGCTTCTGCGGTTATTGTTTCTTGTAAGGTATTTTTGTTACATTAATTGATGAAATTTGGAACCTGTTTGAACCCTATTATACTGATGTGTCAGTGTTGTGATATCATAGTGAGAGAGAGAGAGATTAGGGCAAGCTTTCTATACTTTCCCTAATGTACAAAATTTATATACTTCCCCCTATCCAACAGTCCATTCGTTATGGGCTGTGGAGATGGTCCCAATCATGTCTTTACACTATTTTATTTTTAATTTTTTTACAAAACATTTTGATACCAAAATTTGGGCGTCCAACCGTCTCTTAAATTAGCACCTATAAGAAATATAAAAAAATACTCAATAAAAGAGAATGATCAAAATTCCTTTACAAGTTTTAGGTATTTTGGTTATTTTATTTTATCAAAAAAAATTTTGTGGATTTTTTTTTTGGGTGCATCCCATTGAGATGGCGATACGTATCAAATTTCATATTCATACAATTTGTAAAAAAAATTAAAAATTAAAAAATTTGAAGAATCGGATTGAATGTTGAGTGATTCACTTGATCAAATTGGACACAGGCTGGATGGGGAGAAATATATATACATTAGGGGAAGTATAGAAACCTTTCCCTTGTGCTTTTGAAAAATGCCTTTTGTTGCATCCACAATTTTTATCCAAAAAAATTAAGTTTTTAAGATTGGGTAGATTAAAATTTTGATTTTGGGTATTCAACTTCTATGTTTTCACGCTTCTGTTCCTCCAGTTTGTAAAATTTGTGTTTTGGTTAGTTTAGTTCAAAGATTTGAACTTAAAGTCATGCTTTTTATTGTCGGGAAATTTATCAAAATGTACCTATGTGATGAACTATTTAATATTGAAGAAGTATACAAAAAGACCATTACTATTGGTACAAGGAGATCATAATTATTCATTTGTCATGAAATTTGCAAAGTTGTATGTTATTGGCTATTTAATATTGAAGTATACAAAGAGACCATTATTATTGGTATAAAGAGATTACAATTACTCATTTGCTGTGAAATTTGTGAGGTTATAAGTATGTTATTGGCTGGACACGGTTGGAAAAAAAGTTTCTCGAATTTGGGCACTATCAAATTTGGCATCTAATAGCTACGGATAATTATATCCTTTTTGTACACAAGATACATCCTCTCAATAGGATAAAATCCCTTTAATATTTGCCACTTCTGTTTTTTGATTTCAAAAATCCCATAAAAAAAACCTAAGAGTTGGAATACTTGGAAATGAGTAGAATGTTAAGTAGTTAATATTTAAGATACATTTTGGAAAAAAAATAAATTTTCAAAGTCAACATGTAATGAAAATCTTGCCTTTGGATCCTCACGTATTAAAAGGTCTTAAAACTTCTATTATTCAAGTTTGCCGTCACAATAAAGTACACGTTAGAATTTGAATGTCTAAAGTCAAATTGTAAAAAAAATAAAATATTGATACTTCAATCAGAAGTGAGCATCACTTTATTTTCAAAAATAAATAAAAAATAGAAAAAAAAAAAACATAATATAAATTAAGGGAAGACTATAATAACAAATATTTAGAGGGATATAAGCAGATGTGAATGTAATATCAATTTTCGAGGGAGAACTGTGAAAAGATATCTAGAGAGGTATGAGTGTAAATTTCTTGTATTATATATATCATAATATTAATCCAATGAGTAAAGCTACCAAACATTTTGCAGTTATAATGAATAATAATATAGACAAAATCTCAACCGTTAGAGCTTTATCAGATGGTTAAAAATACATATCACTATTTAAATTTTAATATTTTTTTTATAAATCATATTGAGATGAAAGTTTGGGTGCTAGACACTAATGTGAACCATAAAAAAACATAGTTTCAAGAATTTAAAATAATCAAATTACCTCCATTTTTCAGATATATTTTGATCGTTTTATATTTTAAAAATATTATTTTATATTTTTATTGTACATGCTTTTTTTTAATATATTTTCAAAATTTCATCACGATCTGATTTCTAGAAAAAATGTTAAAATTCAAATAGTGATATATATTTTGAGCCACCCGATAAATGAAACCAAATATTTCTAACTGCTGAGAATCCACCTCATTATATTATAGGTGCCAAGTGTTAGCTCTTTGCTAATCCAATTACATTTCAATTTCAATAAAGATACTCCAGAATATTTGAAAACAACCAAAACACCAGTAGGGGCATTTAATACCTGATAATGCAAGAAAAAGTAAACACTTCCTTGGACAATGCAAAAAAAAATGAAACACTTCAAGAGTTTTGATTGATTCTATCTTCTCGTACCAAAAGTAGGTGGTCTTACATAATACAATAGTATACAATTCTAATTATATAGACAGCACCTTTCAATCTTCTATGCCTCAGTCTCCCTCTCTCCCCCCTTTAACTTCTGATTTAAAACATCTACAAAGTTTTAACAGGTTCAAGGCAATAAAGAAAAGGATCACAATATAGACACTCTCCACAAGAGATCCATGTTCCTTCTCCCTACAAACATTACCAAATATCATTTGTTTTCTTTTCTCAAATAAATGAGCACAAAAACTAACATACATTCAATAAACAACAAGAGCCCTCCTCCCTCTCCAACACCATCCTCCCTGAAATCAACCCTTGTGTTTCTTCGAACGGCACCCATAGGTTTTTTTCTAATGAAGAGCTTTTGGCATATGAATCCGTTCACCTTACTTCTCTAGCTGTTTTAAAGTGAGTATTCGTGGTTGTCGTGCTCCTCAGCCTTCCGTGAAGCTCCTGAATCTTCGCTGTTTGTACGCTTGCTCATACTTGCGCGCTGCACCAGCCTCACTAGTGCTTGCACCACCTCTGACATGGGCGGTCGGAATTCAGGCTCCGGCTGCCACGTATTCAGTATTATTTGTGTCATTACGGTAAGCAGAGAGTTGGGGATTGAAATGGGCCCTATACATCTCTCTCTCTGAAACACCACTTCTACACACTCCCCCTCAACATCTCTCTGATAGTTCTCTCTCGACATCACACACTGTGCTCTCACTCTCTCTCTTGATAGGTCTCTCTTGACATCACATACTATGCTCTCTCTCTCTCACACACACACACACAAACACAGAAAAAAAAGACAACTGTTCCACGCTACTTGTTACTACCTAGATGTTTCACGAGAGCAGAGAAAAAGTCCAACAAAGAACAAGAATTCTGAAGTAAAAGTTCAGTATAACTAAAACTCTAAAAGAAACAATACCTGTATAATTACTAATAATTCTTGAAAGATGAAACTACCGATAATTGGCTTTATTGCATTAACTGGTCAATTGGGTGCATGATTGGCAACTTGAAAGTACAGAAATTTTTCAAGAACGATCGAATCTTTTTGTAGGAAGAATAGTGAAAACTGTGGTATTTTATGAAAATCACATATTGCATAGTATAATAAATGTTTTGATAGCAGTTAAACACCCAAAAAAAGTAGTAAATCATGTTATATTAAAATGAAAAAAAGATTAAGGGAAATGCTTTCGTAACATCGCAGGTGTAATCCACCCATGATGCACCTCCAAAACCCACCATGGAGATGGATTGAGGTCCCAAAATTTCATAAATCCGGCTATTTTACTTCAAAGATCAAGGATCTGAAAACAATAAAAAATCCATTTGGAGCCCTAAAAATGCTCCATGTTGACTGCTGTCTCAACATCGGTTGTGGACTATCCATTTCAGGATATTGACCCGACCCCCCATTTCAACATCTGATTCTGTGGTAGTCATCACTGGAATAAAACTGCAGTTTCATAGAAACTGGACACAAATAATAATATTCTCTCATGATAATAATGTTTACCTGGACACAAAGAGCAACCACATCAGCAAACCGAGAAAGTGATTTGACAGGGTAGAGTTCCTTGAGCCCTGGATCCACCATCTTTGACAATGCATCAATGTCGTGGAGCTGGGGTGTTGCCCATCTCACCAAAGACTGCTCTGACCTTGCTTTCGAACTGATGTAACGAATTCATAGTTATAAAATGATAGCAATCAACATCTCTCTCTCTCTCTCTCTCTCTCTCTCTCTGTGGATTTTGCTTAATTAAAAAAGAATATTGCCAGTGCTTAGTTGGATGTTTCATTTAAAGAAGAAAAACATTCCTCAAGAAGTTGAGATCATTTTTATCAAATTATTGACAACATTGTTCAAACAAGTAATGGGCTTAAGAAATTCCACATACCTGTCAAATGGCTTACGACCTGTTAGAAGCTCAAGCATGGCCACACCAAAGCTGTAAACATCACTCTTCATAGTATACACGCCAGACATGGCAACCTCAGGAGCACTGTATCCCGAGCCTTGGTTCTGATTAGAGGCCTATTGCATAGCCAAAAAAATAATGATAATAATGAGTTCTGTGAACACTTTTGTTTCTCATAAACAATAATTCAGGGATTTCCCTTCCCTTTCAGAAGCTTGTTTAACACAATATAGATCCTGTGGTCAGTCTTTTATGTCAATTGCTTTAGTTTTTTACTTTCCTGAAAGCAAACACATAATCTGTCTGTGTGTGCGTGCGCACATGTGCGTGTGCGTGTGCATGGAAAAATATACACACATTATATGGAAAAATGTACAATAAGACCATTTACTATTGGAACAAAAAGAGCACAAAGATCCCTAGTCGTCAACTGTGAAATTGGGAGGGGTGCAACATTCAGCACACTCAAAAGTTGGGAGAAAACTTCCCTTGACCTTTGTGCCGAGAATGACACAACCCACCTGTCTGATGTTACATACAAGAGTTTGGGGTGCTTTTGATCTTTGTGCAGAAAAGGTAATGGTCTCATTGTATACAAACTCTACATATATATGCATGTAGCTATGAATGAGCTTGAATGTGCATGTCATGATAACAGCATGGAATGTCTACCTCACTATCTGGGTTAGCAACAAAATCTCCCAGTCCACAGTCGGATAGATGAGGATTGAACTCATTGTCCAGCAAAATGTTGGCAGACTTGAAGTTCTTGTGAACAACCGATGGTGAGCAGACTTCATGTAAGTACCTGAAAGTAACGATATAGAACTCTTAAATTGCTGAAAAAACAAAGAATTCCTGAGTATGCTACAATCGAATGAGCTATTCAAAACCATAGTTCATTGGGGTAATGATTGTGCAATATAATGGATGGCAGTGGAGAGAGAGTGAAACCCATCAGAAAGCGGCACATACCCGAATGGTTGGTCAGTATCTCTCCCCATCAACATCCATTATAACCTAGGAGGTTTAGCCCTGATAACTCCAATTAAAATTATATTTCGCACTGATAACTCTATTTAAAGTTGTGAATTGAAAAAGAAAAAAGACAATAACATGTGTTTATTTTGAAGTGGAAACATGTTAGGATTGACAATCCTTGAATAAAACACGTGAGATATCCAGAAAAGTATCAGTATGAAATGAATGACTTTGAGCTCCCTATTTTATTATATTGGCTCTTTCATTGAGTTATTCACTATATAATTAGAGAAACCAATGCGAATCATGAAATTGCCCTTGCACAAAGTTACGGACTTACTAATAAAGGCATAAAAAGTTAAGGACTTACTCTAGAGCCCGAGCTGTGCCAAGAGCAATCTTAACACGGGTGTTCCATGTGAGTGGCCTACTGAATTCATCAGAGAGGTGAAGATAATCATGTAGTGAACCATTCTTGAGGAATTCATAGACAAGAAGATACTGGCCATGCTCCGAAGAATATCCCACCAACTCTGTTATGTTTGGATGGTGTAGCTGTGAAATATTAGAAACTGCTTCCATAAATTCTTCAGGTTCTTGGTTTGGAAGCGCTGAAGAATCAATCTTCTTTACAGCGAGAACCTAATACTCAAAAAATACAAGAAAAATAAAAAAGATCAAACTTATCCCGAAAAACAGATGAAAAAAAGAGAGTAAAAAAAAAGTACCAGATACAAAGAACATAAGGCTGAAACATTAGAACAAACATGAATGAATGAGAAACCACAGAGAGCGAGATTCTGCATGGTTCAGTTACACTGCATATCATATATGCCGCAAACACAGGAAAAGATATCAATATCTTCTAAACAGAAGATTAAATTCTAACCCTGCTTTTGGCTTGTCTGATTCTACAGCACACCAAAAGGATCTGATCAATTTGCAACAATAATTCCTTAGGCATATAATTTAGCCAACTTTACATAGGCATGCTGATGATCATGTGAATTAATCCATGATGGAACTTAGACGAGGTTACGAGACAAATAATCTGTCAGTGATCCAAGGCATTTTGACGAATATAAGAGACCATATGCATAAACAATTAACAAAACCCATCAACCAACATGAATCAAGTTTAGGTTTTCCTTTTTTCAATAAGCAACATGAATATAGTTTTTTGACTAGTCATCCAATTGAGAATAAAGCCTTACCTTTCCATCAGGAAATTGTGCTCTATAAACACGTCCAATGGAGCCCTCACCAATAAGGTTATCAATGCCAAAGCTGCCTGTGGCTATCTGCAAGTCTGCTATTGAATATGGGTTGGCACTTATTGGAGCTTTTTTCTCTCTTTTAGGCTTAACAGTGATTTTGTTTGCAGCAAATTCTTCCTCATCAAATGATTTGTGCCTCTCCATGGGAGGAGGTTTAAGAGCAATAGAAGCTGGTTGGATCGAGGCAGTGTCGATTGATGAAGATGGTTGTATAGACTTCATTTCTGCCCAATAGAAAGTGGTTAGAGAATAGACTATACCAAGATGAATTCATTTTTCTTGGAAGACAACCTATATCAAGATGATAAAAATACCATACTCAAATATTATTATGAGATCGCACTCAAACAACTAGTGGACAAATGGAATTTCCGCCAAGTATTTTGTAGCCTGTAAAGTCTAAACCTCAAATCTATATAAAATTGAGACTTTTGATATTTTGATAAAGATTGACAACTTTGGGAATAAAGGAGAAAATGAAAAGTGCAACGAGAGATAATTATGGTTGGGGAACAACAAAAATAGGAAAAGTTTGGATTATTAAAAGATAAATAAGTACTTTTATTATGTTTGAAGAATAGGCAGAGCTTCACTGTAATGACTGGGTGACAAATTTTCTCATCCCTGGGTAGTGACAAACTTGAATGTGGTCATAAAGGTAAGAAACTGTGTACCAGAAAAAAAAAGGTAATGCGATCCCTTGTCCAAGGGAAGTAACAAGACTGCGAAAATAGCTAAACCATATGAGCAGTCTCACTCCAGAGAGAATTAAATTTACATCTTGAGGCACACAAACAGGTACATCATCACTATGATAGAGCTTTTTGAAAATTTCTAGGAGCGGTGTACCTATCCAATGGCATATCTCTTGACCAGAATAAGGCACAGGAAATTACACCTTTTTCCCTAAACAACTAAATGAGCTGTTGCATTAATAAGATACGATTAACCTTCACATTCAAAACCAAACGATAAAACAAACCTTGCACAGTTTATGCACAATTTAAAATGTATAGTGTTGCAACTATATCACATTCGTTATGACAAAAGGTGTGTTTGCGGATTAGCCTTCCCACAAGGATGGCTGGTGCAAATCAAAACACAATCGCCCATATGTTACAAGGAAGCTGACACAGGTCTCAAGTTTTGACATGGATACGTATTGTAGACAATGTCTTAAAAAAATTAAGAGTGTGAGACACAACATGTTCATACAGATCTATACTGTATGGGAGTGACACATCCCGAATTCTCAAATAAGACACATGACTAACAGTAAGACGTGTGTCTTAAATTGAGACAGAGTGTCATATGGTAGACACTCACCAGTTTCCTTTTTCGTTTTTATGTACATAATACATAATACATATTAGTATAAAAATAGGAAAATATCAATTAAAGGGTCAAATTACGATAGAAAATCATTAGAGGTATCAAACCATCCTATTTAAAATTAGGAGCATTGCTTTATAAGTTCCATTTCACTCAGGTGCCTATTAAAAAAAAGTAAAAAATGACCAAATTGCCCTTGTTCGGGATTGGAAGCCCTAAATAAGCAAGCGCTTCTGGTAATTTAACCCAGTTAAGTGACCTGAGTCAAATAATGAAAATTCCCATGGTTCATCAGAATTAGCAACGTTCAACAACCAAATGACAAAAAAACCCCTAGTTGTTCAAGGTTAGTGTTCTTTTTTCTTTTTTCAATTGAAAGTCCTGGTTGCAAATGCTAAACCCAAAGAATAAAGGATATTTTTGTCATTTTCTCTGGCCACTCAATTGAGAACCAAATTACCAAAATTCCCTTGCTTGTTCAGGTTCCCAATCCTAAATAGAGGCAATTTAGTCATTTTGTACTCTATTGTTCCAAGAGGTACGTGAGTGAAATGAAACTTAAAAAATAACATTCTTAAATTAAATAAGATGATTTCACACCTTTAATGATTTGTAAGGTAATTTGACCCTTTAACTGATATTTTCCTTATAAATAATTCTAGTAATTTACACATATATCCTCCTAAAGTCCCATTACCAAAAAAATACCAAAATTGTCATATTATTATGTCTGTACTCAATTTGTTTGCATTTTAAAAAATGATGATATTGCCCCTACTTTGGATTTTGGGAACCCGAAGTTTAAGATTTATATATACCCAACCAATGAGGCCTACAAGGAGGCGTAAGAAAACTTTGGGATCTCAAGTCCAAAGTATTTTAGTTGAGCAAATACTTCGGAACTTGAAATTCCAAAGTTTTCTTTATCAAATTTAAACAATTCCAAAGTATTTATCCAACTAAAATACTTCGGATTTCAAGTTCCCAAGTGTTTGCTCAACTAAAATACTTCGGATTTTCAAATTCCAAAGTATTCTTAAGCCTCCCTACAGTATAAATGTTCAACTTCGGATTCTCAAAATCCAAAGTAGGGGGCAAATTGTCACTTTTGAAAAATTATGAACAAATTGGGATAGACGTAATAACATAAAATTTTTGGTATTTTAAAATAACAAGATTTTAGGAGGATATACGTGTATATTACAAAAAAAATTATTATAATTTATTACCACTTACATATTACTCCTAAGAATTGTTTAATACTAGTAGTAACAATATGAAAAGAGGAGAACTCAGCATATAAACTACTACTACTTGAAAATTTACAATTACTAATCCAGACAAGTGTGGCTTACATCTGAGAGCTAGATGCCTCACGGATTGCATGTCTCATGACCATTGTAGGAAAAACAGGCCGGTTAGAACTGGAACCGGCCGGTTAGCTCGGAACTGCTAGGGTTCCGAGTCCGGTTAGGGGCGGTTTTGGGCATCTCTTAGCCTAGGGTACAACCCCACAAAATTTCGGGCCCATAACCGGGCGGTTAGGGGTCGAACTAGCCATGTTTTGGTCAAACTGACCAATTTTGCTACTAACCGAACCGGTTAGCGGATATAACAGCTTTTATGAACAAATAACAATATACTTAAAATAACGGCCATTATTTGATGCAGGAATTCACGGGTTGATTTTTTCAAGCTTTCTTTATTCATTTTCTTGCCATTTTTCATGACTTGTAGCTGTAAAACACGATTTATTGTCTATAAAACAAGAAAATTCGAATAGCCAATGGTTTTTGCTGAAATTTGAGGGCTTTTAATCCTAATCAAATCATCTACCATATGCCTCCTTCAATTTGTTCAAAAAACAAAATATTGGGGGCTGATTTTCGCCAGAAAAGCTGCTGCTCGAAGAACTTGTGTTCGATAAAAAAAAACAGATTTTGGAACGATTTTTTGGCCCTTTTTTATCAAATTGATTTGTGTATTTTGATCATCAAGGCTTCATCTATCACATAAGATAGGTAAGCTTATTTATTATTGAGTAAATATTTTTATATGAATTTTTTTCTTGCTCGATTTCACAGATATGAATTTTCCACGATTTTTCAATTAAATAAAAAATACTGAATATTTTTCAATTAAAGGCTTGTGCGTTGATTTGTTCAATTATCCAAACATTTACTGTCGTTTCTTGCTTGAAATGTTGCTCAATTTTAGAAGTTCTTGCAAAATCAATTTTTCCAAAAAAAATATTTTTCTTAATAAAATTATTATTTTTTATGAATATGGAAAGTGTTTTTCTATTTTCTTAATAAAATAATATTTTTTGATAAATTTATTTATTTTGATAAAAATATATTGTTTTAATTAATATGACAATCTTGTGACATCTTGTCTTTTACAAATGAAATTCTAGATGGACATGTAAAAGTTGGTGGATCAATTTCTTTTCCATTGTTTCTAATTGTGATTAGCAGTATCTTGAAGTGTTGTAAAACTTGAAACTAGAGTGCGTAAACATATATGTGTGCTTATATTTTTTAGTAATAAGCATAGACGAATGTAATGTTTCCGCAACACCTGAACATCTAGAGTGCATATTTACACTGGGGTAATACATTGGTGGTAAGGTGTTGTAAACTTATTATCAGACTGCATTCTAGGAAACAAAACGATTTATGTGACTTGCTTGGGATCATGTACATGATCGTAGTATTCAAATATTTAACTTACATAAAAAGTTGTTTTAATTTTATTTTTGTAAGATAAATGTATGTAATAATATACACGTAATCTAAGCTTTCCTAATTTTTTATTTTTTTAAAATTTTTTTGGGGGTTCTTGACCCTTTTTTTTTTAAAAAAAAAAAATCTACTTCACCGATTAGTCCGGTTCCGGTTCTAACCGCTCCCAGGCCCATGTCCAGTTACCATTCCGGTTCAATTTTGCAAACACTGCTCATGACTAAGACATGCGATCTCACAACTTAGACATGCGATTTTAATTACTAAGACATGTGTCGTGAAACTGTGACACTGATGTCTAATGGTTTAGACATCTATATTGTACATCTGAGACAAGCAGTCTCACAAAGATGCAATGTTGGAGTGTTGGGTCATGAAGAAAAATACCAAAACAGCCCTAAAACTAGTAAACCCACTGTTGCATGCCTTGTCAGCATGTCTGTTTCAAACTCTAAATGCGTCAGACATGGCTTTCAATGCTACAATCCATAATCATTTGGCATTCACAAATTAGAATGGAGCCGAGTGGTAAGGAACGAAAATTGGGGTCACAAGCCTTCAAACTAGACTAGAGAACTATTCATCTTGGTGGAGTCACAACACCAAGTCCTCAAACATCTCGATCTTTGCCTTGTCTATGTTGTCCTTGCATGCTATATTTCAGGAATGAATAAATTCTAGGCACATAGAAAGAAGAAACTACAAATCTTGCAAAGCAAAGGTTATCATAAAGCACCGAACACCTTTGCACCTAGATCATGGCATAGAGCAAATACATATACAAGCAAGACAGTAATGGCCAAAACAAATACCCAAGCCCCGATGTTGCCAACCGCACTCGCACTGTGAATTATACAGATAAAAGTAGTCATTGAAACAAGGGACAAATTGTAAACAAAGCTACTAAATAAAGCAATTCACATGCAAAGAAAAGAAAAAAGCGATCACCTTTAATATCATTGGAGACAAGGGGTGTAAATGGCTGATCATGGCTTTGCTTCTCTACAAGTCCACCTTTCTTTGATCTCTTCCTCACTAAAAAGAATGCTAAAATCCCACCAATAACCAAAATCGTTATCACTATTCCAGCTATTCCTCCACCACTCAAACCTGATTTATTGCTACCTCCACCAGAATTTGATGGACTGTTACCACCCCCTGACTTATGGCCTGGGCTGGCCCGACGCCCAGGAGGTGGAGTTGAGTATGGAGGAGGAGGTGGGGCAGGTCCAGATGTCCACGAATTACCATCCTTCCTGCAAGAACATAAGGAAATGTCTTGAATCACTTAGCAATTACGCTAATAACAAAAATAAAAGAAAAAAGCAAGATGCGTTACTAAACAAGAAATGACTAATGAGTTACATTGAGATTTGGCAGAAGAACTTGGTGAACCCAAATAACACAATGTGATCAAACCTATCATCAACAAACTCTGAAAGATTGAAATGAGTGAGGTGCAAATGCTTACTGGAAATTTCGTATGTTGTTTAATGAGCCAGGGATCCATCCACTGAAATGGTTATTTGCCACATTCCTGGTATTGACGAACATTAAACAAGAAAAGCTGAGAAGTTTTCCGATTATAACTGATGCAAATAGATTAGTTAACCAAGAAGAAAAAGCAAAAAGCAACCACATTTGAAGCACCATTAAATGGATCACTCACAGATTTTGAAGGGGAAGGTTGGCAAGGACATCAATGGGACCAGTAAACTGGTTGTCTTGCAAAGACCTGCACAATGATAATTGATAAACAATCAACCAAAGATGGAAACTATCTCAAGATGATAACATCAGAGGTTCTGACAGTTTTCTTACAGAGTGGTCAGACTTGTGAGAGAGCTGAAGCTTTCAGGAAGATTACCATTCAGACGATTAGAGGACAGATCCCTGACATATGGAGGAGAGCTTCAGAGACATCCTTAGAAAGTTCGAAAGATTGATATAATAATTAAACAGACAATCTGCATCATCAATGCAAGTGAAATTTCTCCCAAAAACCATAGCATGGAAGCATAAAATGTTTGATGTAACCTACCAAAGTTGTAAACTGGCTAGGAATAGTAACCAGTCCTATAGACCATATATGTATAGTTCTTGAAATGTATTAAAATAAAAACAGAAGCACCCCAGAAGTGAGAATGAGCATGCAAGCAAGAAAGGCCATGTTTTCATCTGTGCTTTTCGATTTTGCGTAAGAATTGTTTCTAGAGTAGGGACACAAATGACACATTCGACACAAATGACACATTCAGGTTGTGATACGACCTAGCCAGAAAGCCAAAAGAGCAGTCCAGACAGATAAGCACAAAAAATTGCTTTCACACAACAGCCATAAAATCTGAAGCAACAATTTACATGATGTATTCATGAGTTGTCATGTCTTTCTGTCAAAATAATGCATGTTATGAACATATGTGTGGCACAATAAGTTCCAACAAGAGAGACACCAATATGAGGATCATTAGTGTAGTTTACTCACTGTCCCATAGCTATTTAAACAGCCAAGACTCTTTAAAAATATAACGATTATTTGCAGTAAGAGAAGTGCCAAAACTAGATGTAATGTTTGGTTGACTGGGAATTGCTCTCTCTCTCTCTCTCTCT